GCTTTAGCTGGGTTATTGGATGCTAAATCACAAATAAGCCTTAATAAATCTGTAGAGAAAGTAGTAGCAGTCAGCTGTCATCAATTGGAAAACAGTGGTAAAACATAAAGAATTAAAGTCTTATGAAAAGAATTGAAGAGTAAATTGGAGACAAACTTTCTGTTTCGCACAACTGATCACATAATTAATAAAAAAAGTGGTTGTGGACATCAAAGCTTTGCAACCACTAAATTTTACTTCACACAGTTTGACCTGATTTCAGGCACAGAGCTGCTGTGAGGGAACCCTGCAGGTAGCTAACCTCCAGGTAATTGGAGCCAAGATGACACACAGGGCCTTATGAAGTTCAAGCGCCGTCTGTTTCAGAGCAAACACCCCCCCGGCTTCGATTCACAGAGCGGCGTGATGATGAAACCGTGACTCGACGCAGGTCAAGCAAAACCATCAACAAACACTTGACCTGCTGGGCGGTTTCAGTGACAGAGGCAGGTCGGCTTGTGGAGCAGAAATCTCGAGACTGAACTAGAAAATAAAACTCAAAGAATAACTAGAAAGATTTGCATTTCCTGCGAAAATGCAGTGTGGATGCTTTAAAGCTGAAGCTGTATGCAAAAACTAGCTGAAAACGCTGAAAAGTTGCAGAAATTGTAAAAACTTTGCAGAAGCAAAGGAACTTTGCTAAAATGGAATAACTTAGCAGAACTGCAATATCTTAGAGGAAACATAATACTTGGCAGAAATACAATAGCATAGCAGAACTTAGCAGAAATATTGTAACTTACCAGAAACATGATAACTTCTCAAAAATACAAGAATTTAGGAGAAATAGTATAAGATAACAGAAAGAATATATTTAGCCAAAAATACTTAAGCATTACAGAAACACTATGATTTAGAAAAATAGTACAACAGAGCAGAAATACTGTGATTTACCAGAGACACTGTGATGAACTATGAATATTGTAATTTTAAATCAATACTATGTTTTAGCACAAATACTATAATTTGACAGAAATACTATATTTAGCACAAATCTTATAAAATAGCAGAAATAGTATGATTTAGCACAATAGTAATAACTTAAACAGAAAAATTGGAAAAGCAAAATGGACAGCTGAAAAAATGCTGAACATGCTAAGGGTCCCTCAAATATACTTGTTAAATGAAAAAAATTGGCAAAAAAATATAACAGCCACACAATCACAAATATGGACACATATGGAAACACACATGCACAGAGAGAGACACACACAAGATCCAATTCAGTCAACCAGTCTAAATATATTGAATTTGAATCTTACAATGAGATCATCCCATAAAAAGGCTTCCTCACTCTCTCACTCACTCACTCACTCACTCACTCACACACACACACACACACACACACACACACACACACACACACACACACACACACTCACACACACTCACACACACACACACAGACACAGAAGTAAGTTTCTAGCTCAGTCAAGCAGCCTTGGAGCTGCTGAATTTGAATCCACCAATCAGAGAGCCTGTGCACTTTTTCCCGCCAAAACAGGTGCATGCAGCACAGAGAGACACAGGATTTTTGCAGTCTATTTCTCATAATGACGACTCCCCTCAAACAAATGACCATAATTTTCTAACCGTAGGGGCTAGAATGGTCATTCTTACACCGTTTTGTTCAGAAGAGATGGGGGAATCTTAAAGTGTTGACAATTTATCATTAAAATATGAATTATTAAAGATAATTGACTTCTAATGCACCATAACTGAGTAGAGCAAAGCAAAAACTGCCTTGACTTGCCCTCAAACAACGCTTTCTAACTCTAAATCTATTTGGAGTATCAATATCATTCTTTCACCGTAAGAGACAGCAGGCTTTGGTGAACAATCATGGAAATTTTCAGGTCTCTGTGGAAATCCATTAAAAAGATATGACGAGAGAAAAAAGTGGTTCATTTCCAGAGTTTGAAATCTGAAGAAATCTGAGCGAAGGACGAATTTCCTACCCTCAAACAAGTCTAACTCATTTCAGAACGGTAATAGGTGAGAAAATAATTCTTGAATTGTGAGCGTCAGGAGTGTCTGAAGATATACTGGGACAAGCCTTATGTCTTAACTTTGCTTCGTTGAGGAGATATGACGATTCGAATATGCCTCTCATTACAGAAATCAAGCGGTGATTTTGAACAAGCTCTCCATTGACTTTCTATGGAGAGTTTTGCGACTTTGTGTTGGTCTGAGGAGATTTGCCAAAATTCTATAAATCCCACAACAATGATAGTGACATTTTCGGAAAGCCAGCAAAAATACCTACGTTTTGATGTATAATTTGTGGAAGTTGAGTGAAGATTGAGCAAGTAGCAAGAAGTTGTTCGGACATGAAGAGAAGACTGCAAAACCTTCAGTGGCAGACTGGAAGCCAAGTGCAATAGCAACCATAACAACGCATGTATTTTGTGAAAAATCACAATTTTGCAACTGAAAACTTTAAGAGGCATAAAGGTAAAACGGTAAAAGATTTGAAAAAGCTGAATCATACCTGAATAGCCCAATAATTTGAGAACATTTTAAAGTTTGAATGGTTGTTCTACGTGAAAATATGAGGAAGTAGTTAAGTTTCAGAAACAAGCAAATTTTAGCAGAATTGCAGAAGTTTCCCATTCATTTCAATGGGACAAATTAAGCTTAATATTTTAAAAAGTATAATAGTGAAAAATACCAAAAGACATAGCAGGAATTAGCAGAAATAGCAGAATATTTTAAAATTTGAACGGTGAAAATCGGCTGAAAATTGCGGAAGTAGTTAAGTGCCAAAAAGTGTACGGAAGTCCCAAGAGGAACTCTATAGTGTGGATGCTTAAAGCATCCACACAATTAGCCACTACAATGTGCTCCAGAGACACTGCTTGCATTTTAAATGCAAAACGTGAAAAGATAAGTTCTCACATAGCTGTGTTTGCACACCACAAGACTTAGAGGGTGGGAAATTATTGATTTGACAAGGTAAAATATAAAGTTTAAATATGAATTCTGGGAACTAATGGGAGTCTGTTTTTTAAAAAAATGGTTCCTACTTTTACTTTAAGAAATGTAGGTCACACTGAGTGTTACAAAAATCGGTTTGTTTTGTCTGAAATTTACCAGAATAATGACTGAAAGGAGAATTTTATCTTACTTTCCCCAAAATAAACACAATTATACAGGAGCGAGTTGAATATTTTATTTTAAACCTCATGCTGTAATATTAAATGTAAGAATACAGTTTGAGCTGTGTGGCCAATAGCTCGTCGCTTATGCCGCCGTGCAGTTTTTGTTATTCTTCAGCTCTGTGCAAATGTCACATTTAGTCATTTGAAATGATTTAGCACCATTTCAAATGACTGTTTTTACATTTGCAGTTGTGAAAAATATTTTGTTTCGCCCATTAAAGGTTTGGTAATAGTCAGTAAAATTACTATTCTTCCTGTGCAGCTGCATAAATTTTATCTGGTGTCAGATAGTGGTGTTATAGGGTTTTTTTGGCATTTATAAGAGTTTAGGCGGCTGATCATTCTGTCTTTATCTGTCAGAATCCTTTGAGGTCAACTCTTTGTGTCAGTGTCTTCATTCAAGCTCATTAGAGCTACAGGATCGAACCACAGGATGTCACAAAGCTTGATGTCTGCTGTGGCACACAAAAGACACTCTGAGGTACTGACAGGGAGGAACGAGTGACTGCCTACTGCTGGTGAAATGTTTAATTTGCCTTGTTGGAAGCATCTCCTGCCTGATCAAGCTGATGTGTCAGGTCCTGCCACATAACCCCTGGCTCATGGTTGTTCTGCTTTGATGGCCTGTTTGTTTTTGTTCCCCGTTTTCTTTTCTTTCTTTTCTTTTTTGGTGTTCCCTACCAGTGGTGGTGTCAGTTTCTTTGATGCAAGTCTTCTGGCTTAATTTGATATATTTGTTCTACTACAGGCCAATGCTCAGTGAGACTTTTATTGGGATTTATAAACATGTCCAATGCATATTTTGTTTTTCGCAAAACAAAATATGCATTTTCAATCACATGACTCACCCTCTTTCTACAGTAATACAAATAATTAAATAAATAATAAAACGAATAATTAAATGGAAAACTACAGAGAATAGAATCGATGGAGAAGATAATAGTTGGGGTACTATCAGTTATATACTGTATTTATAGGCAAAGCGGGGCAGTAGTTTCACCCTGTAACAGCGCTCAGTAGTGGGCTCTACTGGGTTCTGTCTTACATTAAATATATATAGTGTTCAAAATTCATGCCTGCAGTGTGACCTGTGTGCTGACACACCTCTGAGGTCACAGGTTAGATTCCTTAAAGCAGCGGTCCCCAACCCCCGGGCCTCGGACCGGTACCGGTCCGTGAGTCATTTGGTACCGGGCCGCGAGAGTTGAGGCTCAGGTGTGAAATGTATAGTTTTCAGGGTTTTTATTGGTTTTCAGCATTATTTTGTTATCGTTTTTATCGTTTACTCGGTTATCCTGGGTCTTTTCACGTGTGTTATGAATAAATCTTCTTTTTTTCGGTACCGGTACTAGTTTTATTTTGTTGTATTTATCTGTGACACCTTAAAGGCCGGTCCATGAAAATATTGTCGGGCATAAACCGGTCTGTGGCGTAAAAAAGGTTGGGGACCGCTGCCTTAAAGGTGTGGCACCAACATTAGCTTCAGACTTGGGAATTTCTGGACCAGATGCAGAGAGTGCCAAAGGAAAGAGTATATCTCTTCTCTCAGTAACTGCTGTTAGGTTCCCCCTGGGTGAGACACTTGACCTTCACCGCTCCAGTGGAGCTTCATTGGCCTGCAGCAGCAGATTGTGGTGTACCGGGATAAAACTCCCAGGATGTACTGGAATACAAGTCTGGGTGCTCATGGCATTTTCTCTCATGAATAAAGATTTAATGGTGTTAAAAATAATCCACCAGCCTGTTTTGATTTGTGTATTGATGTGTGAGGATTGAATTGTGTTCTGCGTCTGCCCCCAGATGAAGACTGTGAGCGTGGCGCTGGTGCTGTGCCTCAACGTGGGAGTGGACCCACCTGATGTGGTCAAGACCTCCCCCTGCGCCAGACTGGAGTGCTGGATAGGTGAGTCCACGCAGACACCAAACAAATCAAAGAGACTCATAATGAGATTTATTGAGCTTAAATGACACGCGTGTATTTCACTAAAGGCTCTCACACTGTCCTGCTTCTCTTGTTGGTGTGAAAATAAACAGATATTTCTCAGGCATTTGTTTTCCTCAGTGTGAATGCTGTCAATGATTTTTGGACACACTTTAGATAATGTGGATCAAAAACTAAAATGTGAACAAGCGGATATCATACACACACTAATGCATTCATTATCTCTTTACAGGGATTGTTGCGTTATCCATATTTGCTACAGATAAGTTATTATAAGTGCTTTTAAATTTTAATTTTAATTTGGTGCAGCTGTGATTTTTCTGCTCATAAAGATGATATTTTACGACCACCTCTGTACCCTTAATGACGAGTGTTTACACCTCAGTTTATTATTACAGATGTGGTCTGACACCCATTAGAATATCTTCTGGCGTTTTCCAGGACTATCCATAGTACGCTGATCGGCCTCACTAACACGTTTTAGAGAGCTGCCCAGCGCTGAGGTGAAAACCTGTGAAAGTTATTCAAATTGGTAAGCTGACAGGGTTACAGTTGGTTTTACACGTGCCATTTTATTAAAACTGCTAAAAAAAAAGTTGCATCGCGACTGTGGCTGCCTCAGACTCTGTCCTCGCTTCATGTCAAAGCTGCAGGTTTTTGTGATTTGAAGCTGCAGACGGGCTGAAGCTTGCTCTTCGCTTACAAAATTTGAGCAATGCAACACTCTTGCAGAGTTGTGTGTGGAGGGGTTTGATAGTGCTTTTTTTGTTATTGTTTTTAGAAACACTGCCCTCCCTAAGGTTTTGTGTTCTCCCTATATCCAGTATAGCCTCTCTGCACTTCATCAGTGGCATTATGGTCAAGAAAACAAAAAAAAAACAAGACATGCACGGACTCATCGATCAGTTTCTCGACAGTTGTGATTTCATTTTTAACTGTGTACTGTTTACATCTGGCTTCAGCCAGCTTTCTGGATTATTGAAAACGACAATATTACAATATTTACGACATATCAATATAATATATTGGCTAGTAGTTATTTTTCTGTGTTGGTCCTGTACTAGCTGGACAAGATACTATGCGAAGAACACACTTCGTGAATTGTTATTTCATACAGTTACATACAGTTATTTCTGTATTGTGTCATGTTGCCATTTAGTGGTGTTGTTGCTATCATTGCTGTACACGCAGTGATCAAAGGGATCGAAAAACTGCTTTATTGGGCTGAAACACAGACTTCTTCCTTTTTTGGGTGAAAAATTATTTTGGTTCAAAGAGCAAGGCGGTGTTATGGTGTTCAGCACTACTGAGCACCGTGACTTTTACATGACACTAAAACTTGAACTTTCACTTCAGGGATATTCTCAAGCTTTCACCGGAACCACATAATGTGACATAGAACAAAAACACAACCGTCTCCATTGAATGGGAACCTCAAAAAACATTGTTTTGCTCCCCTGGGATTGACTGACTGTTAGGAGTCAGGCAAGCACATTAAAGTGGAAACACAGCTCTTAAAGTTTCTGAAAGTTTTTCAGTGGCTTCTGAGGACACTGTCGCTCTATAGACTTGCCACTCGGCTTGTGAGAAGCCATTTGGGTGTATGAAGTGTTAAAGGCTGGGATGACGTCCTAAAATGCACCGTAGTGTTCATCTCTCATGGATGTTTGAGCCACACGCAGATTGGGAGGAGGGGAACAAAACAAAAACCTCACATCTGCTTTTTGTTTCACTGGTGTGTGTGTGCGGTTTTGTGGAAACTGCCTTTCACTTTGCACCATAGCAGGAAATTGTGATGCCAGTGTATGCAGTATAAACAGAAGCGTTATGTTGCAAGATGCATGTTCATCAAGTTCAGAGACAATATTACTGAGCATTCACCGAGTAGACACAGATGGGATTGAACCGGAGATGAGAGAGCAAGGCCTTGTGACCATAGAGCACGTAATAGCTGGTTAGTGAAGAGCTGAGCGTTTATGATGTCGCCCTGTTAGTGCTTTAAAACCAGATGTGACAAGCGAACAGTGGTTCTGGACGAGAATCTGGGGACGATGTGCGCTAATGCGGCACAAACTTGTCCATCTCTAAGTAGCCACATGCTAAAACACACCATGTTTTCTTTCCTTTCTTTCTTTTTTTTTTTTGCTCTAATGGGACCACAAGTTACAAAATGAAGTTTATGTTCTATTAAATAATGTTTAAAAGTAGTGACTGAGACCATAAAGTCTTAATGGAAGTATTCAAATAAGTGCAGGGGTCTTTTCCCCTTAGACTTTAATACAGTTTATCTTTGTTTTTAAACCAGAGGAGTTGCCCCTGTTAGCATGTTGCTAATATTTTAAGTCATTAAAGGCACATTCAAAGTGCAAACATTGAATGAAAAGGATTTTATGATCAATACATTTCAAATATTCAAATCTGAATAGTCAAATTCTTTCTTATTTTCGTGTCATTTCTAAACAAAATATTATATATGGTTTGTAAATGTATTATGTACATTAGACATAATGTAAAATAATGCGGCCGTTGTGGTGTGATCTAATGTGAATAGTCCTCATTGATCAGAACAGTAATGATTTCATTCTCTGCATATCACTATCCCCTGAAAACCTACTAATACATCTTTTTTTCCTCCCTGAGCAGAATTTGATCTGTCCTTTATCTATATTCTGCTTTTCTTCATGCCATATTGATTTACTCTCATCAATATTTCAACCTTAGCGGCTGCTGCTATTTTTCCATACCCCGCTTCAGATTTAATAAGAAATGTCCCTTTGATGCTGAAACGAACAACTTCAACAACTTCTTTGTACTCGTGGCGTGGCTGAATTCTTAATCACTAAACGTTAAAGCAGTAATTATATGGCTGGTTTGTTAGTTCTACATCGACTTGTGTGGTTTTCCTCAGTTATGGCTATTTTCTTTGCTGTGTGTGCGTCTGTATGTGTGTCTGTGTTAATTGCAGTGTGTTTACACTCTTGTGTTTGCTTCCCAGATCCTCTGTCGATGAGTCCACAGAAGGCCCTGGAGACCATCGGGGCCAACCTGCAGAAGCAGTATGAAAACTGGCAGCCCAGGGTGAGTCTTTAACCGATACTGTGACCAGAGACACAGACTCACACCACGTCTGTTCAGGACCGAGTTAGATAATGACTCAATCCTGTTAAAATAATATCATCAATGACTGATTTTTGGCATCTATTAAACCATTTGCACTTTTCTGTTCTTTGAACTGAACAATCACCTACCTTTCTATAAGCAGTAACCTCTCAGTAAACTCTTTGAATATTACACTGATGACTCCTCCACCACCTCCTGGTACTCTGGTATTGATTTGACTGATCTTTGCTTAAAGCTCTGGGAACTTAAACATCAGCTTGTTCATCATGAGTTTTCAGACAAAAACATTTCACTGTGCGCAACTGTTACGTCCCCCCCACCATGGCGGAGGCAAAGGTAGGAAGGAGACAGCAACACTGGACAACCACAATCAATGAAGGAGGAAGACCACATAGCAGTTAGGTATCAGGCAGGATTTATTGGGTGCTTGCCTGGATAGTCAAACTTAACAACAGTAAAGAGGTGGGGGAGGAGGACTGGGCGGTTGATCCAAATCAAAGAAAGTAATAAAACAAAAAGAGGTCAGTAGCTTCCAGGGCCTAGCCTAACTGAAAGAAAAATGCAAAACAAAAGGCCTACCTAGCTACTCGATAAAAGTCAGTGAAAACATACAAGGGTGGCATCAACCGCATAACCTAGTGTGACTAACAGAGTAAAATCTACAACCAGTGTATAGGGTACCCCGGCTTACCTGTCCAGCCTCCCACCACACACAACATAAAGATGCCTGTTCGCAAATGTTTGTCAAAGCAGAAGCCAGCAGCCACCAGCTGGCCAGGGAGCGGCTCCTTTGTAGTGTTCCTTGGAGTGTGATTGGCCAACTGAGCCCAGTCCAGCCAATAGACACCTGCCAATCAACTTCGAACTGGCCAATCAGAGGAGGCCTGACGCCTGAAAGATGAATAGAACACAAAACAGAGTACAAAAGCAAAGCCACACCCCTTGGCACGTAACACTCTCACCCTTCAAAAACCAAACTCAGGGTTTGGTGACCTCTCTAAACAGCACGGGAGAGTGCGTCTGCTACAATGTTTTCTGAACCTTTTTTGTGATGGATTTTGAGGGTATAATTCTGAATAATCAGTGACCAACGCATAAGCCGCTGGTTGTGATTATACATCTTGGAGAGGAAAACTAAAGGGTTGTGATCTGTGAATACTTGGACTGACCTCTGACCTGACTCTGTATAGACTTCAAAATGTTGCAAGGCCCACAACAAAGCAAGGGTCTCCTTTTCAATGGTAGAATACCTGAGCTGGTGTTTGTCAAACTTCCGAGAGAAGTAACTCACAGGATGGTCAATGCCCTGGGTATCCTCCTGGAGAAGCACCGCTCCCGCCCCAACTGCGCTGGCATCTATTTCCAGTTTGAATGGTAAAGAGAAGTTAGGAGCAGACAAAACAGGGGTGCAACAAAGTAAGCCCTTAAGGCTTTCGAAAGCCTGCTGACAACTCCCAGACCAAATAAATGGCTTTGAGGGGCTGGTTAAATCAGTGAGAGGAGCAGCAACAGAAGAGAAATTTTTACAAAACCGTCGGTAATATCCTATCATCCCAAGGAACCGCCGCAGTTCTCTCCTGGTGGTTGGTTGGGGGAACTCCCTAATCGCAATGACTTTGGCATCTGCAGGGCGCACTTGCCCTAGACCAACTTGCTGGCCAAGGTAGAGGACACTGCCTCTAGCGAAATCACATTTGGCAAGGTTCAAAGTGAGAGACGCACTGTCTAGGCTAATGAAGACTTCTTTTAATGTAGCTATGTGGGTGGACCAGTCACTGCTATACACAACAATGTCATCTAAGTATGCTCGGCAGTTAGGGATGTTTCCCAACACTTTGTTAACCAGTCTCTGAAACGTTGCAGGGGCATTGCACATGCCAAAAGGCATAACCGTATACTGCAGGAAGTGGTCAGGGGTGACAAAAGCTGAAATCTCAGACGCTTGCTGTGTCAAAGGCACTTGCCAATACCCTTTTAACATATCGAGTTTAGTGATGTATTTTGCAGGCCCTATTTCATCAATGCAGTCATCGATAAGGGGTAAGGGATGTGCATCGGGTACAGTGACGGAGTTCACCTTTCGGAAGTCTGTACAGAATCTTGGGCTTCCATCTGACTTAGTGTCTAAGAGACATGGTGAACTCCAAGAGCTGGAGCTTGGCACTGCAAATCCATTCTGAAGAAGATACTCAACTTCCTGTTTTATGATTTCCCTCTTTGCAGGACTAACCCGATAAGCGCGCTGTTTGATTGGTGTAGGGTTAGTGAGCACCACATCATGTTTTATGACAGTGGTTTGAGACGGGATATCACTGAACAGAGATGGGAATCCCGATATGAGTGTTATAATATCATTGCTCTGTTCAGCAGGAAGGTGGGACAGGTATTGTGTTAGGGTTGACAATATCACAGAATTACCTAGTCGAGCACTTTGAGGCTCAGCACCTCGTAACACCAACCCATCTTCATCTGGAGTAATCTCCACCTTGGTCACCGAAGCCATCGGAGACGTAACCACTTGCTCTTGGACCACAGATGGCACAGCTGAAGGTTCACGAGAGTTGTACAGCTTCATCATGTTGACATGACACACCCGAGTGGGACGTCTGCGATCCGGGGTCTGAATAATGTAGTTAGTCTTGCTGAGTTTTCTCTCGACAACATAAGGACCAGAGAACCTAACGGAGAGAGAGGAGCCGGGCACCGGAAGGAGAAGGAGCACTCTGTCACCTGGCAGAAATGAACGGTCAACAGCCCGCTGATCAAAGTGTCTCTTCATTTTCGCTTGTGACGTGGCTAATACGTTCCTGGTTAAGGAATAAGCCCTCTTCAACCTGTCATTCAGTGTCTTGACGTACTCTGGAAGGCTTTTGGTGTTGTCAACCGGTGTAGCCAGCCTCTCTTTAAAAACCTTCAAAGGACCCCTCATCTCACGCCCAAACACAAGTTCACTGGGACTAAATCCCAGAGATTCTTGGGTTGCTTCCCGACAGGCAAATAAAACAAGTGGAACACTTTCATCCCAGTCCCGTTGGGAACTATAACAGTGTTTCCTTAACATAGACTTCAAAGTCTGATGAAACCTCTCTAGTGCCCCCTGACTTTCAGGATGGTAAGAACTCGAGGTTATGTGTTCAATGCCTAATGTTTTCAGGGCTTGGGCAAACACTCTAGACTTAAAGTTAGTGCCTTGGTCTGTTTGCACAACCTTAGGCAGACCAAAGGTGGAAAAGAATCTCAACAGTGCTTTGACAACAATCTGAGCTGTTATTCTCCGTAGTGGGATTGCCTCGGGAAACCTGGTCGAAACGCACATGATCGTCAACAGAAACTGGTTTCCAGTTTTAGCTTTAGGTAGAGGCCCCACACAGTCAACAATCACTTTCTGAAATGGCTCCTCTATTACTGGGATAGGACAGAGAGGAGCGGGGGGGATTACTTGGTTTGGCTTGCCGGTCATTTGACATACATGGCAAGTACGGCAGTATTGAACAACATCAGATTTCAGTCCGGGCCAGAAGAAATGTTTCAGAATTCTGGTGTATGTTTTATTAACCCCCAAATGTCCTGACCATGGGTGGTCATGTGCTAAGGACAGTACCTGGGTACGATAAGCAGTAGGTACTACCACCTGATATACTGCAGACCAGTCAGCGTCTTCCGAGACCTCACTTGTCCATCTACGCATCAGAAGACCTTTGTCAGAGAAGTAAGCCAGCTTTTTCCCTTTGGCATCCTGTTGACTGAGAGTGGAGGAATGACACTTGGACAGGGTTACATCATTTTTCTGTGCAATAATGAACTCCTCTCGGGAGACTGGCAAATCCAGAACTGGTTGTGTTTTGTCAGCAGGTGGAACTGTGGCCTGAACCTTAGATCCAGAGGTAAAGTTAATCACATCACCAACGGGATCTGACCTCATAAAGGAATCGGCCAAGTCAGGACCATACTTTTTTGTCTGGGCCCTCGTAACTACACAAGCTGGAAAGATGGCAAGCTGGTCTTGGGCTGAGTCAGAATCCCGGCTCAGCTCGGGTCTGTCTAACACTTCAGGAATGGGTATGACCTTGCCTCCAGCAAGGTCATTACCTAGGATGAAGTCAATGCCTGGTATGGGCAACGCAGAACGAATAGCCACTTTAACAACTCCGCTGACTAATGAAGACTGAATGTGAATAGTGTGCAAAGGGGCAGATACAAATCCGAGTTCTACTCCCTGGACAATAACACTGGACTGGCAGAATGACTCCTCAGAAAACGGTAAGACGTTTTCTCTAATGATGGACTGAGAGGCCCCTGTATCTCTCAGTATTTTTACTGGTTGTTGATCATTTGGATTCCCAGTCAGCGAAACCACTCCCTCTAGAATGAATGGTTTGAAACAGGGGTCAGGGTGGTTAGTGTTTGGTTGAAATGCCCTCCCAGTCTCTGTGGCTTTAATCAATCCCACCCCTTTTGGTTGCGAGGATAGTTGCTGTTTACGCTTTAATGCCTGACATTCTGCGATGAGATGACCCCTCTTGTGGCAATAAAAGCATTCACGCTCACCGTGGGGAGGTGAGGGCACCCTCACTGGCCTCACTGGCCTCGCAGCAGAGCAACTAGACTCAAGCCGTGCTGAGCGCAAGGCTGTGGGCCTATCTGGATGGGAAACAGGGGTAAAAACATTCTTATGAGTTAACACAAACTCATCGGCCAACACAGCTGCTTTGGACATTGACGTCACCTTCTGTTCATTTAAGAACATTATGAGCCTCTCAGGTAATGAATTTTTAAAATCCTCCAGTAACATTAACTCACGCAGCGACTCATACTCATCCCCAACTCCGTTAGCAGAGCACCATTTATCAAAAAGAGCCCCTTTCTCATGTGCAAACTCCACATATGTTTGACTGCTAGACTTCTTATGGTTCCTAAATTTCTGCCTGTAGGCTTCAGGTACCAGTTCGTAGGCACGT